GCAGAGGAGAAACAGTCCATGGCATGGCAGGGAGAAGGCAGCAAGCAGAAAGCCTGCCTTCTTTCTAGTATATGTGCTGCTGAAGGGAGCACATGCCTGCCTTCTGTCTCTTTATAGTCCATGATAAGCCTATTGACTGCTGCCACCCCCACCCAGGGTGAGGCTTCCTTTATTCATACCCTTAATCCCAATATCACACCCTTAATCCACATTCACACACCCTAATTCCAGCAGGGTCCGAAACAACCCACCTATGACTGAATGAGGCTTTGGGGGTACATCTAGATGCAAGCCATAACAATAAATATGTGCACATTCTTTTTGTGAAAAACTTGAAACATACAGAAGTGAGCAGAAGCGTACACCATCTGTTATTGTTATATTGCAAAGCACTCCAAAAAAAACGTAGTGTCTGAAAACAAAGACCATATTATCCTCATGATTCCGAGGGTTGACAGCCCTCCTGCCGTTCTCTCCTGAGGTCTCACGTGGCTGCGCTGAAGCTTTTGCTTAGCTGCCCCACTCCCTGATGGTCCCTCTCCAGGGAATGAGCTTGGGCTTCCTCACAGCACAGAGGTCTTAGAGTTCTAAAAGCATGAAAATGGAAACTTCCGGTGCCTTAATAACTGGACTTAGAGCTGGCTGGGCATCCTTTCAGCTGCATTCTACTCATCAAAGCAAGTCACAAGCCAGGGGTAGTGGTACATGCCAGCATCCTGGGAGGCTGAGACAGGAAGACCACAAGTTTGAATCCTGTTTAGGCAACCTAGTGACTTTGCAAGACCCTGTCTCAAAATAAAAAATTTAAAAAGGGCTGGGGATGTAGCTCAGTGCAACCCCCAGTACTGCAGAAAAGAAAAGTCACAAGCCAGGCAGATTGAAGGAGGGGAGTCTTGCTCTACCTCCTTTGAGAAGCCACACAGCAGTGCACTAGGGGAGGACTCCTTGGCAGCCAGCCTGGGGGTGACATCCTACAAGTGCCTGACATATACCAGGTCGGTGCTGAGAGCTGCACTACCCCACCTCACCTGACCCTCCGAATCCATGCTGTGTTCGTGCCATTCTCATCCTACAGAGCTCACCAGATGGCAGCTCACTGCTCTCAGCGCTGCTTCAGAACAGCTGCCTGTGTGTTACATTCCACACACAGGCAGAATCAACGGTGGGTCAAGGGCTACCCCGGGGGGCCCCTGGGCTCCCAGCTTCTGTGTGTTTGTGTAGGTTCTTGTGTAGATGTGCTCACATGCATATGTTCTAACTATAATATTTTTGGATGTTAGTTGGTGGGGAACACAGATATAAAGGAGAAAATGAACACAGCAAAAAAAGGAGAAATGAGGAAGGCATGTATTTGGAGACTAAGCTCAGGAGATAGAAATACCGAAGTAAGTCCAGTGAGAGAGACAGAATCAGAGAAAACACAGACAGACAGATTGATGGACCAACGAGGTCTCCCTCCTTTAGCCTGGAAGTGTCATGAGGGCCAGGATTTTGTCTGTTTTCTTCATTACTAATCTCCAACTCTTAGAGCAGTGTCTGCCCCTAGGAGCTCAGTATACTGTAAGTGGACCAGAAACGAGGCAAAACAAGCAGAGTCCCTGAAGTTCCCAGTGTCACCACGAGGTGGGAGTCTTCTTACTCCTTGGAGCTTCCAAACGCCATGGTCCAGGAGACAGCACTGGCCCCACAGCCCTGACTTTCAGGATGTCTTCCCTGGGGCTCAGCCTTGCCTTTCCCTGCACAAGCCCTGGGCGACCAGTGACCTTTCCGCCTGGACACCCTCTTCTTCACTTCCCCCCACCACCCTGCCCAGTTAAACAACCCTTTGTCCTTGGTCCCTTCCGGCCGGCCCCGAGGCACCTGGGTCCCTTCCAGGCCCGGAGATGGGGCTGGGACAAAGGTGGGGCAGCTGGGACAAAGCCAAGGAAAAGTCCTGGGGACTATGGAATCAGTTATTCCAGTCTTCCTGGATCAGAAGTGTGGAAACCAGCACCTCTTCCTTCAGACCCAGAAGCCTAGGCCCCCAACTTCCTCCTCCCTCAGACCCTGGATCCAGGTCCCAGCACTCCTCAGTCAGACACAGGATCCAGGCCTGGCCTCCTCCCTCAGGCCCAGGGGTCCAGGCCCGGCCTCCTCCCTCACACCCAGGAATCTAGGCTCCAAGCCTCTCCTCTTGAGCTCCTCCCTTTGTAGTCTAAGGTCCCCCAGTGTTCTCTCTCCCCGCTTTACAGAGATCCCCTCTCCCCCTCACTCCCCCTTCAGGGCTGAATCCAGTCTGAGTCACAGGAAGCCCAGGGGCCCTGAGTCACCCCCACCCATGGCTCAGCCCCTCCCTGAGCTGGAGAGAGCTGGCTGTGGAGAAGGTGCTTCCTACCACTGACCCGCTGCCCAGAACTTTGGTTTGAGGCAGATACCTTTCCCACCGCGAGGACCCCTAGCACTGCCAGCTGGGTACCTCCCATCTCCAGCCTTCCTGCTTTTTCTCTTTCAGTTGCGGTCCATTTGGAGACCAAATTTCTCCCTACTGTCAACTTCCATGTCTTGATTCTAGCTCTTTTCTTTCTCTTCATTTCTGGATCCCTTTTCTCTCTGTGTCTTTGATATTTGTTGTTGTTGACTTTTGTTTTGCTGTCTTTTTGCAGTGCTGGGGATAGAACCTGTGGCCTTGTATGTGCTAAACATATGCTTTCCCACTGAGCTGCACTCCAATCCAGCCTCTCAGATACTCTGTCTCCCTCTCTGTGTCAGTCTCTGTGCCCTGTTTCTCAAGCGTGCCTGACCTGGGGCTGGGGCTGCTTATGGGTTTTAACCCTTAATGAGACCTCAGTCTCTGTCTCTGGGTCTCAGCCCCTGAGTGGAGCTGCAGTAGATCTGAAAGGAACAAGGCTGTCCATAGCTGTGCCAGGGAACAGGAGAGATAAACTGAGGCAGAGATGAGAAAAGAGAGAGACTCAAAGGGAGACCTGGAGATAGGGAGAAAGTGAGACACAGAGACACAGAGAAGGGTGAGCACAGAGGGACAAGGAGAGGGAATGAAACAGAAAAACTGAGAGGGACCAAAGGTGGAAACAGAGGCAAAGATACAAGGGACGTGGAGACTCAAAGAGGGCCAAGTGAGGAGAGGCAGGGAGATGGAGACCCAGTGAGAGACCAAAGACAGACCAGGGATGGGGAGACACAGAGATACTGAGACAGACCGTAAAAGAGACACAGGCCTGGGGAGAGAAAAACGGAGACCAAGCCAGGCTCGGTGGTACATGCCTGTAATCCCAGCACCCTGGGAGGCTTCGGCAAGAGGAGCCCAAGTTTGAACCTAGACTCTGCAACTTAGTGACTTAGCAAGACCCTGCCGTAAAACTTTTAAAAAATTTTTTTAAGGATTGGGGATGTAGCTCAGTGCAAATGAACTGGATTTCATCCCCAGTACTAGGAGGAAAAAGTACAAGAAAAAAATGGAAACTGAGAAAGGAGACAGATAAGACAAACCCAGAGGTGTCCAGAGTGGAGGAGCTGAGAAAGGAGCTGGAGGCATGGCCCAGGGTGGGAGAGGGAGGAAAGAAGGAGAGAGAGGGAGCGGAGAGGGAGGGCACTGACTGCAGGCCTCAGGCCAGGCGGGAGCAGCAGGGGCACCGGTTGGTCGTAGCCTGAGATGGCATTTTCTCCAGGCGGATGCGTGCAGCATGGTGTCTGGGTGCTGGATGTGTCTCCATCCCTCTCCCGCCCCATGTCACTGGAATGGGAACTGTGCATGTGCCATGGGGCAGGGCACCCCCACCGGCTGTGTTTTGTCACTGGGCGTGTCTGTGTGTGTGGTTTGGTGTCTCTGGGTGTGTCTCTGTGGGCTGCGTTGCTGTGTTGCCAGACAGGGCTGTCGGAGTGTCTCGTTTCCCTGTGGCTGGCGGGCCGTGGGACTGCATGACGTAGGACACGGGGAGGAGAGGGGTGCGTCTGCGTGCTCTTCTAAGAGTAGGGCTGGGAGGCCACCTGCTATGTCCTGAGATCAGTGTGTGCTGCCGTGCAAGGTGTTTTGTGTGACCACGTTAGCGCACCCCTGTGTGTTGCGATGGGAGGGCTTGGATTTGTATCTCAATGTACAGTGTATACAGTGTTGTCCCGTACACGCCGTACACGCACCATTCCAGTTCTGTATCACTCAGTGATGTGTGTCCTGCATCACGTGCATGGTGGGTGCACGCCCACCTCAGGGGCCTCTCCTTTCCCTGGAGACCCACCGTTCAGGGTGTGTTGTGTTTGTGTGGCTGTGGACAATACTTCTCCTCTGCACCGTGTGTGGGACCGTCTTGGGCTCTGATGCAGGCTGTCAGTGGGACACATCTGGTGTTTCATGTGACAGGAGATCTTTGTGAAAGGTTGTTGAGTCTTGGAAAATGTGTTATGTTTTGTGTCACTGTGTGACTGTATTACTCTGCATATGTTGTGATTTTGCCACCAAGTATGTTGGATACAGTGTGTGTGGGTGTTGCATGTGATGCTCAGTTGTGGCTGGCGGGTCAGAGGGAATGGTCCATGGTACAGTAGGGCACGGGGATCCATTTAGGTGCCACCCCGATTTCTGCCCCTTGGAGGCATCATCCTGGGTTGTGTCTTGTATGGCCAAAATATACCACACTGTTTGAGTGTGGGCATGTGCTGTTGGGCCCCCCGTGTGGTGGCTCATTGTAGGTCTCTGGACACCTCCATTCACAGTATTCTCTGCCCATTCATCTGAACCGCATTGTGCTGGGCATACTGTGGCTGGGTGAACCAGTGTGTGCTGTGACTCATCATGATGGCTATGTGTGTGATCATGACACACACTGGTGTGTGTTTCTCTGCGCTGGGTGGCTAGGGCTGTCACAGCGTTGTGTCTGCACATATCAGGTGCCACACTCCAGGACCCTTTTGTGTTTGGAAGGTCACAGGTGCCTTGTTTACACACGTGTGCTGTGTCCAGTGGTGTCTGGTCTGACTGTCAATTCTGTGCATTTGGGTAGCACTGTTGTGTTATGTGGGTGTGTATCACCCTGCGTGTGTTGTCTGGGTGTAGCTGTCTGTGTCCAGGAATGTTGTTGCAATTTCGAACGCAACGTTTGCGCCTGTGTGTGGACAATGTCCGGGGAGCCATGTGTGCCAGGGGACGCGGCCTTGCTAAGTGCCGGCGTGTGTGTGTGTCACACACCATGTGTGTGGTGTCTGGGTGTGGCTATGGGTTTCAGAGCTTCTCGGGAGTTGTGAGTCACCCAGTATAGGTTGTGCAGTGTGCCTGAGTGTGTTAGGCTCCATCTTCGGCAGTGGGGTGTCCTGTGGTGACTGGGTGTGGTGGGTGTAGGTGTGTGTCACAAGGTGCAGACCGTTGTAGGCACAGCCCATTGTGTGTCAGTGTGTGTCTCTGCCCACGTGGATGGATGCCTCTTCCTTGCTCTGACCCAGACACACCCCAGCCCCTCCTTAGTCTGGGAAGGGGGGTTGGGGAGCCTCCCCCTACCCAGGGACCTCCCCGCCCCTCCCGCCCTGCCCTGCTGCCGTTACCACTCCCCAGAGGGCACCGGGCTCTGCCGTGCCTCTGCCTCAGAGCAGAAGCCCCGGTGCGAGCTGAGCAGCCGGCGGCCTGGAAGCCAAAGTGGCTGCCATTTGCGTACTGCGAGGTGGGGGACCTTGGGCAGGAAGCTGGCTGAGCCTCAAGACCTCAGGGGCCATGGGCGGGGACCTGGTGGCTGGCCTGGGGGCCCTGCGGAGGAGAAAGCGCCTGCTGGAGGAGGAGAAGTGGCTGGCTGGCTGGGCGCTGGCACTGGCGGGAACTGGCATCGGACTCATGGTGCTGCACGCGGAGATGCTGTGGTTCGGGGGGTGCCCGGTGAGTGGACTCTAACCCCAGGGCATAAGAGACTGGGGGCCTGCACCCCCGGGTCTGAGGGAGAAGGGGCTGCAGTCCGCACCCCCGGGTCTGAGGGAGAAGGGGCTGCAGTCCGCACCCCCGGGTCTGAGGGAGAA